GGTTTGGCCAGTGAGGTGACCCGTGGAATATAGTCTGTTACTTCTTACACGACAGACTTACGGACCAGCTCTTGCCATCGGACAGCAGGACACCCTCTTCCTACCGCTCCGCACATCTCTAAATAGCGGCCTGAAAATTTGACGGTAATCCTGTACTCCGTCAACTATCGGAACTACCTTCAATTCTGTGATTGTTCATGTAATCCTGTGGACGGAACTTTTTAAATTCCAACCAAATGGCATTTGTTCCGGTAAATTTTCATTTATTTATCTATTTTTTTTTTTCCTTAGTCAACTGGGCGGCCGCTTTGAAAATTTTACTGCGTAGACTTTGTTACTGGTCATAAAACTCTAGACACTGCATATTCAGTAATTCATGTAACGGCAATGGTACTATTACATGTTTCTTTACAAGGAAACATTGTGCATTCATTGACGGTACAGTCAGTGTTGCTGTTGGTTGAAATTTATATCTCTTTTATACAACTTTTTGTATAAAACGTTTCTAAGGGATATGGTATTTAAAAAAAAGTCATGATCGCTAATGTCTCTAAGGGATATGGTATTTTAAAAAAATTCCTAGTCGCTGACGTCTCTAAGGGATATGGTTTAAATTTTTTTTTTTTTTTTTTTTTTGAAAAAAAAAAAAAAGGAAGAAAAAACATCATCTAAATAGATATTTTTGCCTGGATTTCTGGGATGAGGAGTTCGCATTATTTACACCTGTGTTTCTCAACCTTTTTTATTCCAGGCTGCACTTGTAGAATTACTAAAACACTGGAACGCACTTTAAATTTTAATAAAGTCAAATTGGTCATGAAATTTGAAAATATAAAATTTTGATTTAGCTTTCGCAAATATTTGCAGTATAGTTTTCATTTTAATGAGATTTATGAAGACTCTGCTATTTTTTAGACACGACGATAATGATTGATTTAAATCCTTTAGGGAAGGCAAAAGGGAAAGGATTATCCACTCCTTAAAGATTAAGGAATTTAGCATCCAATTTACAGATCACGACATCTATCAGAGAGATGAAATTTAAATTTTTATTATTGTATTATTCCAAAATTTTAACACATCAGCAGATAGCTATTAATGTTAACACCTGACCACAAATAGTTATTAATTTAAAAAAATTAGTAATTAATTTATAATATTATCCATAACTACATGTACAAGAATGTCGTTTATGAATAAAAGTTAAAAAAATAATCATGAATACGTAAAAAATGCGTATATTGTCGAAAATTCCTTTTTCCACAAAATAGCTATTTGTGCTATGTTTTAATGCTTATTACCTAAACAATAATAATATTGAATATTCATGAAAATATGTTTCTCAAGTTCAGTACTTGCTATGAGATCAGTAATCCACTCGTCGGAATAACTGATAGCTGTCATGGCTGTAAAATTCTAGTGCTATCAGCTTATGCCCTAACTGAAAAAAAAATCTTGTTTCAGAAAAAGAGAAAGTCTACATGGGATTAAGTAAACATTGCATTAACGAGGATTTTCATGTTACAACAAGTACTTCTGAACGCCACTCCTTCTTCGGAAGTTTCAAACAAACGAAGATCTTTTTCTTACTCAAAAAGATATTCCATTCTTAACACGTGTTTCGACCATCCCATGAAACACTGCATCACATGGCACTGACCATATAACGTAACAACAAGATTATTGAATTCAGTATCACAGTCTCTTGGGTGAGGCAGTTTGCGACAGATGTTAAACGGATAGATGAATGGATTGTTGATTTGTTTTACTAGCATATCAACCTCTGTAGATTATTTAATGCTGAAACTGGATTTTATTCAGAAATATTTCAGAACATTTCAAGTGGTTGTTAGGTTTTAAAATTGTTTTCAGAATATGACAAGTTAGTGAAGTTATGTATTTAAGAAGTATTTTAAAACATAAGCTGTATGATTCAACATGCAAGCTCTATTTTCTATAGAAGTTGGAAGTATTTTATTTTCTTCAGATATCCTAATATTTGGGCAGTAGGTACCTTTTTGAAGAGTATGTTAAGAATATTGTGCTTGGTAATAGTTTCTATTTAGTTGCTTTTTTTAGTAATAGTTGCTATTTTGTACTTCTTACATTCTATCAAATATGTTTGACTATGAGGAATTGGTTGTAGTTAGTACACTGAGGTATAGTTTCTGCCTTGAATATCCATATGTGGGTCCAATTATTTTAAATTTATATGTATATGTGTGTCCAATTCCTTTAAATTTATAATATGTATATGTGTCCAATTCTTTTAAATTTATAATATGCATATGTGTGTCCAATTCTTTTAAATTTATAATATGCATATGTGTGTCCAATTCTTTTAAATTTATAATATGCATATGTGTGTCCAATTCTTTTAAATTTATAATATGCATATGTGTGTCCAATTCTTTTAAATTTATAATATGCATATGTGTGTCCAATTCCTTTAAATTTATAATATGCATATGTGTGTCCAATTCTTTTAAATTTATAATATGCATATGTGTGTCCAATTCTTTTAAATTTATAACATGCATATGTGTGTCCAATTCTTTTAAATTTATAACATGCATATGTGTGTCCAATTCCTTTAAATTTATAATATGCATATGTGTGTACAATTCCTTTAAATTTATAACATGTATATCTGTCTAATTCTTTTAAATTTATGTGTCCAATTCTTTTAAATTTATAATCTGTATATGTGTCCAATATTTAAATTATATATATATATATATATATATATATATATATATATATATATATATATATGTGTGTGTATATGTGTGTCCAATTCTTTTGAGCGCTCTGTCTTTTCTGCAATCACAGACAGATGTTAGAGTATACAACTCCTACTTTGAATTTGATCACAGACTATTTATAACTAAACAAACAACACCAGTTATCAAAATACCTCGCTTCTGTCCACAGAAACCACAACAAACACCGAGGTATAACATACAATGCCGACTGAGTTCAGTTGTGTCACGTGATTCAGGAGAAATCTTTTATTTACATGAATTTATAGCATCATTATTCAATCACCATAGGACTTTGTTTTCGATATCTTGATTTTTCTTTAAACTTCTGACCAAACAATGATTGTTGAGTGGAGTGAAGCAAGCCTGAACATGATAGACTTGGTGAATGTGATGCCTAGGAACAAAACAAAAGCTCTTCGTGATAAGAAACGACGAAGAATTTGTGAAAAGTCTCTATGGGATATGGTATTTTTTTTTTAAATGTCCTGATCGCTGACGTTTCTTTTAAAAAAAAACTCATTATCGCTAATGTCTCTAAGGGATATGGTATCTAAAAAAAAAAGTCCTGATCGCTGACGTCTCTAAGGGATATGGAATTTAAAAAAAACAAAAAAAAAAAAAACAAGCGTCATCTGAATAACTATTTTTGCCTGGATTTCTGGGATAAGGAGTTCTCATTATTTACACCTGTGTTTCTCGACCTTTTTTTTTTCCAGGCTGCACTTGTAGAATGACTAAAACTCTGGGACCCACTTTAACTTTTAATAAAGTCAAATTGGTCATGAACTTTGAAAATATAAAATTTTGATATAACTTTCGCAAATATTAGCAGTATAGTTTTCATTTTAAAGAGATTTATGAAGAATCTGCTTTTTTTTTTCTTTTTTTAAGAGATGCCGATAATGATTGATTTAAATCCTTTAGGGAAGACAAAAGGGAAAGGATTATCCACTCCTTCTTAAAGATTAAGGAATTTAGCATCCAATTTAGAGATCACGACATCTGTCAGATGAAATTTAAATTTTTATTATTGCATTATTACAAAATTTTAACACATCAGCAAATACCTATTAATGTCAACAACTCAGTACGAATAGTTATTAATTAAAAAAAAAAATTGTAATTAGTGTATAATATTACCCAAAACTACATGTACAAGAATGTCGTTTTTGATAAAAGTTAAAAAAATAACTATAAATACATAAAAAAAATACGTATATTGTCGAAAATTCCTTTTTCCACAATATAGCTATTTGTTCTATGTTATAATGCTTATTACCTAAACAATAATAATACTCAATATATTTTTAAACATTAAAGTATATTTAATCAGATCGATCTGATAAAATATCAAATGACAAGGACATAACTTCGACATTGAAGTCATATGCTTGAGGTAGCTAACTTTTCAAAAATAAAGTTTTTTTTTTTTTTTTAATATAAAAATAATTCATAAATTATTGCGTCTTGGGTAAGACGATAAACTACATCCGAGAGCAAGGCCTCTAATCAGGTTTTGAAGAGCGTGGGACCACCTCTTAATTGCTGGTGTGCCCAGGTTCACCCTGATCCGTGGTGATCGTACCTGTCAGGGTCCCATCTATGGGCAAATAGTTAACACCCAAAAATGGGTCAAAATACTATGAAAGTATAAAATAAGTTTTGATACCAGCAATACTTTTTTGTAGGAAAAAATTATTCCCTGCAAACCATTATTACCAGCGGTATATTTTTATAAAGAAAAATATTACCAGCAATATAGTTTTGGAAGAAAATATTACTAGCTATACATTTCTAAAAAAGAAAAAAAAAAAAAAAAATTACCAGCACTATATTTTTAGAAAAAAGTAATACCAACAATAGATTTATGAAAAAATATATTAACATCAATAAAAATCTTGTCGGCATTAAATAACCCATTGAGGTTGATTCGCCACAAAATAGAATAAACATAAATTATTCTTCCGTTAACTTGGGGAGGTTCTGGCAACTTTTCAGGGCGCATTTGTTAGCCGGGATTCACCGGTTGAGAAACGCTGCATTATACTAACCACTTATCCTTTTATAGTCTAGAAAATTTTTTTATTAATTTCATTCTATTTTCTCGTTTTAGATCAGGCTGCTAAGTCAAAAAAATCCCGTGGAAACCTGCCGAGGGAAGCTGTCGACTACCTGATGGCGTGGCTTTATGAAAACCGTTTTCGAGCGTACCCTTGTGAAGAGACCAAAAAACAAATGGCCCGGCACACGGGTCTCACCCTTCAGCAAGTCAACAACTGGTATATAAATGCGCGCCGTCGCATCCTGCCTTCGCTCATCTCCAAGGAAGGCAAAGAACCTCGCGACTACCGAATTACCCGCAAAAGAACGAACAATACAACGGCGACGACAGTGACAACGACGGCACTGAACAATCCGACGACTGCAACACCATCAACACCTACCATAGCTCCCGTTACTTCACTCGTAAGCGACACCTCATCTCATCCCCCCTCGAACCTGCTGACCCCGCCCGTCACTCGATACAACAGTCCAACGTATTCGCCGATCAGCACGGACGGTGAGCCCTTTCCAAGTATAGCATCCATGTTTCCCGCTTCTTCTGCATGTCCTTCGCCTGTGCCACAACCTGGACAGCAACAACTTTACGTCCGTTCGGAATATTTCCCTGATTCTCCGTCCACCAACAACACAATGTCCTTTGTTAATGAAAGCACTAGAGGTGCAGGTGGCCAGCCTCTGACAAGGTCGTCACGCGGTGTGCCACCGAACGACTGCCTCGCTCAGCCGCAGCCCGAGCTTTTGTCGACCCTTCAAAACCCGTCGCCGTATAATTATTATAATCTAGTCTACAACAATGATGGCGAGCCGGGGGACTCTTTCCCGCCAGTCGAGAATCTTATCCGCTCGAGTTACGGAGCTACAGATGGCAATTTTCGAATTCTCGAGTTCAATATGATATAAAGAAAAAAAAATTATTATTTTTTATTTTTAATTCTGTTTGTTTTTACCCTGTATCATATAGCGAAAACGCTTTATTTAAAACGTTTGACAGTTCCATAGTAACTGTTTTGAAAGAGATGTGTTGAACAATTGCCGTATACGCTCGAGTATTAGAAAAGTATTTAAGAAAAAAATATTTTAGGCCAAAAAAAAAATATTGGGTGTGGTATTGAATTATATATGGGTAATAGTTTTATAAAATTGAAACGAAATCTAAGTATTTCTTTCATCTTACTTTAGCTTACTATTCATCTACTAGTATTAGTAGATGTACTATCTTGATTGTTTTATTAGATGAAACATTTTCAACCATTATTGACTAGTATTTCTTTCATCTTAATTTTGTTGGCTTTTGATCTCGTAATTTTAATAATAATGGCATATTGATTTTTTACTCGTATTTCATTTTAATTTCGTGCTTTTCGTCGCTACTATTAAAACCGTCACTCTACGGCCTTTTTTTGTTTTTATAAACAGCGCGGATCAAAAATTAACTTAAAGCTCCCAACTCTAACCCTGTCTCGATTGCGCTACAAAAACTGTTACGGCTGGTAGTAAATCAAATCTAATCATTTTAAACTTATCCGTTAACTTTCTCCGTTTTAATCATATAACATATTCATTCCCCCGACAATCACTCGGTGCCATATTTAACGTTATTTTCTTCATATACTAGTAGAATTTGTAGGAAGTGAGATTGGTAATTTGTATGAGATGAAGGCGCGCCAATGCTTTGTCATTTGGGACTTGTATTCCTTTCATCTAAATAGTTGTTGCTTTTCAGCATAACTATAAACTGTCAGTCTGCAGGCATTAGAATAAAAACAAAAGTCGTGTATCGAAAAGTAAAAATATCTTTTATTTAAACTAACAATTCTTTGCCTCGGAAATATATATATATATATATATATAATTTCCGGTAGCTTTACACTGACCATCTGAGTAATCGTGACAAGAAATAAAATGAAAGAAATACAAAAATAAATTAAAAATGCTTGACAAAGCTTCATCAAATAAAAAATTCAAGATAATATTCCCACTAAAAATACTAGATAAAAAACAAATAAATTACTATGGCTTATTAATACTACGAGGTTAAAATTAATTAAAATTAAGATGAAAGAAATATTGCTCAAAAACTAATTATGGTTGACAATGTTTTATGTAACAAAAAATTTAAAATATTAGTACTAATATTACAAGAGGAAAATCAAGTAAATTAGTATGAATTAGTAATAATATTACTATTAATACTACGTTAGGAAAAGCAAGTAAAATTACGATGTAAGAAATACTAGTCAAAAATTAATAAAAAAAATCAGTATAATAATACTAATGTAGATAAAGCAAGATAAATTTACATGGAAATTTGTAAAAAAAAAATTAATAATGATTGACAATGATTCATCTAATAAAAAAGTGACTTTTTTTAATTACTAAAATAATGCGTTGAAAAAAAATACGAACCAGAAACTATGAATGACTTTTTAAAAAGGTGGAACTATATTATTGATATAACTTAAACTTAGTATTTAATGTATAAACTGTAACGCTAATAATATTAAAATTAATAGTATGACATTTGTAATACTATTAATACTAATCAATTTTTAAGAAGTGACTTTTATTTCTGCTTGAAATATTTTTTATTAATAAAACTTAGGAAAAGCATTGCAAGCGGAAAGTCTACCACAAGGGAGGTAACTAGGTGATAACCGGCGTTTATCATTTGTAATGATTAAGTATGTTGATATGGTTAAATTTAGTTTCCTCTAATTCGTAAGAGTTCTAGCTTAATCACAGAGTAACTGCTCCAATTAACAAGGCTTTCCGATGCAGAAGGATGCAAGTTCGAGCCTCGTTGATAGCCTTTTTCGATTCACATTTTTACTGATGGCCAGAAACGAACGGCCTAAGGATTTGCAAAGAAAAGGATCTGAAAGTAAGATGAAAGAAATACGAGTGAAAAAAAAAAAAAATGAAATGGCAATGCTTCCTCTAATGCAAAAATAAAGATAATATTACTACTAATACTACCAGTTTAAAAGCAAAATCAAGATGAAAGAAATACTAGTCAAAAATGAATAATGCTTGACAATGCTTCATTTAATAAAAATTCAAAATTATTTTTATTTAAGCTCCAGCGTTTCTATGTACTCTTTTATACCAAGTATAATTTCTGTGCGGGATAATCATGCCGATGGAATTTTTTTCTTTTCAAATCGTATAATAAGCGTGCCGGTTCAAATAAAAAGAAAAGTTCATGTTTACTGATGCTGTAGGATTCTCAGAACACAATAATCGTGCCGGGAAGAAAAATAACATACCGTTCCAAATAAACACCGTGCCGGGTATTAAATAAAATTTATTGAGAAGCAGAAAAACAAAGCTTTGTTAGAAACAAAGAAAAGAGTACTGAACTGCTCCATGATATCAGTGGTTCTACACCCGTCAAATATGACGAAGCGACTTCAAGCAACAGAAATGTGGTTCTATAGAAGGATACTGACGATACCCTGGACCGAACATGTGAGCAACGACGAAGAAAAATGGAAACAAAAAGGAAACTTACACTTAACATTAAGAAAAGACAGTTGAAGTTTCTAGGGCGAATAAATGAGAAAAGAGGGCTGGGAAAGTTTGATACTCACAGGACAGATTGAAGGCTAAAGGGACAGAGGAAAACCACGCATAACCTACCTGGAGAGCTTGAGTAAATGGATGGTGGAACAAGTTTTAGGAGAGATGACAATTTATTAAGGGTTACAAAGGACAGGAAAATGTGGAGAGCCATGATCGCCTACGTCCTGAGGGGACACGGCACATAGATGAAGAACTTGATACACAAGAATAAGTAATAGATATTTTGCATCTCTCGCTCAATGCTTCGGGTTGACTTTTTCTCATTTTTTTCCAATGTTTAAAATACCATGCTATTGAGGAGTTATTTTGCCTTCTGTGTGGTTTGATTAGCGTGAAAAAACTTCTTCTACGCGCCATGTCATTCAGGATGTGAGCGATCATGGTTCTCCATAACTTCCTGTTCTTTGTAGCACTCAGTAAATTTTGTGTTTTGCTCTCACTCTCTCTCACTCTCCCCCGCCAATCCCTGTTCTGCCAAGCATTCACACAAGTTGTTTATTCTCTGCAGCCTATTGCCTTCAGTATTCCCTGTGAGTGTCAAATTTTCCAATTCCACTTTCCCCATTATGTGTCCTGTAAATGTCAACCGTCTCTTTATGATATTCAGTCTTTGGTATTCTCAGAATTCTTCTGTAGAACGACATTTCTGCTGCCTCAAGCCTCTTCTTCATCTATGATTAGATGACCCACCATTCACTGGCATATACGAGTACCAATATAACATAACAGTTCAGTACACTTTCCTTTGTTCCCAAGTTTCTCAGAACAGTTTTTTTCTCTCGCATTTCTCGCTTGTGGAACTCTCTTCTGACTTCTTACTTCCCAATCAACATGGATCTTCAAAAATTTAAATGCCTTGTCAATTGCCATCTTGTCGTCTTAATTCCTTTTTTTTTGTTGTTCTATCTCCTTAATAGTATTTTTTTATGTTTGTTTTGTTTTGTTTTGTTTTTCCTATATTCTCTCACGCCCCCCTTGAGTCTTCGTGGCTTTATTGTCTTGCTTGGGATGAAATTATTTAAAAAAAAGTTAATTGTTGTTAATTATTTCTTCCATCGAATCAAACGTTGGTATATACGAGGAATAGCCAAACATTCTTATTTTCTACTCTTAGATTCAGACGCGCCGTGCAAATATTGTCTTCACATTAATTCTTGTAAAAAGAATTAAAAAAAATATAAATAAATACAGTAAATCGCCGGTTTACGACGATTCGTAATCTCCGTTAACCTTGTTTCGACTTCGTACATAAGGCAACTCGGGTCAGTTCCTAATTGTACGCCATATTGGATTGTTGTGCATTCTCTCTCTTTTGTTTGTGTTATATTTATGTCTTCAATATTTTTTTCTTTTGGTTTTAGTCCTGATTATCTTAACACATGTCACAGAATCGTGTTACGTCCTATATTATATATATATATATATATTATATTATATATATTATTACTTTAAAATTACGTTAACATAGGTGAGTGACGTAAGTGATTATTCACGGAAAATCGCGTTACGACGGATCGTAGGAACTCTGTCTTAAGTCGAGGACCCCTGTATTCATATACATATATTCAACCTTTTTATGTAATTTATTAATTTAATAAAATAAATGTAACCTAGCTAGCAAGTAAATGGATGTCAGAACAGGGTTTGGGAGAGATAAAACAAAAACAAAATGTATTAAAAGCTACAAAGGACTGGAAATTGTGGAGGGCTATGATCACCAACATTCTGAAGGAACACGGCACACAGAAGAAGCCAAAGTTAATATTTGTTGCTATGTTAGTATCTTTTAATGGCTCACATATACATGTTGCTAATCTGGAGAGGGATGAGTTCTGTCAGGTCTAATTTGCATAAGATACACTACAGCGAACCTACGATCACATTTGGCCATGGCACTGAGGATGATGATACATGTGGCTAGCAGGAAAGGTAAATCATATAAGCAAACTTCTCTCGAAAAAAATTGTTCAACCCTCCATATTTAAAGTGATTTTTTTCAAGTTCAGAAATATCGTATAAATCTTACTCTTCCGAAATATGGAAAAAAATTCAATAGAAGTAGATAGGTTCGCCTATCGTCCGGTTCACGCTCCTTCCCCGTCTTATAGAGGTAGATCCCTTATTTCCACTTCAGGATTGGGTTTCCAATTCATTCTAAAGTCTTCTTCAGCTCTGTACTTCTGACGTTTCCATTTAAACTCTGAAATTTTATTAACTATTCTTATCCTCAATAAGAGTAGATAGTCTATATTTCTGAGATGAGGTATTATGTACACTATTTACATTATTTTGGTCTATTGTCCTCATCTTTGTCGCCATATTTATTACAACGTGTCGGCCCTTCAGTATCTGTCTATATTTCTGAGATGAGGTATTATGTGCATTATTTACATTATTCGGACTATTGCCCTCATCTTTGTCACCATATATATTACAACGTTTCGGCCGTTGTACGCTCCGGCCTTCTTCAGATGGTTAGAATGTCGAACTGAACCCTTTATTTTAGTGTGTGAGTTCAGTACCTTGTTCAGGCAGTGGAGAACTTGGAGAGGGGAATTAACAAGAGATAACTGATGACTGACATCCATTAGACATGGCACGTGGAACTAGAAGAGTCTACCCCAGTGAGTGAAATAAAGGGTTCAGTTCGACATTCCAACCACCCGAAGAAGGCCGGAGCGTACAACGACCGAAACGTTGTAATAAATATGGCGACAAAGATGAGGACAATAGTCCGAATAATGTAAATAGGAGTAGATAGGTTCGCCTGTCGTACGGTTCACATCTTCTCTGATATTTTAAAAAAGGATAGAGACTTATCCCTTGTTTGCTGTTTAGATTTGGGTTTCCCGGTTCCTTCTAATTCTTCACATTCTATTTCACTTCCAGTAGCCGCCCTTGCGTCTTAGTGGCATTACTGCTTTGCTTGTGAATTGATTAATATTATATATATAGTTAATGAAGTTATTTGCCAATCCATATGGATAATTCCAAGGAGGATGTTATCCAGAGAGCTCAATGTAAAAACAGAGCAAATATTAATTATAATAAGAAACAGACAAGTTTAAGGGTTCATGGGATTATAATTTATTTCCTTAAGTCCGGGATTTTGATCTTAATTCTTCAGATCTCCATTTTCATACAAAAATATGGGCGACAAATTTTTTACACACTTAGAAACTTACATATTATCATTTTTAATTTATGCTCACATGTGTTTGAGGAGACAGTTTTAAGTTGTTATAAGAAGAGAGAGAGAGAGAGAGAGAGAGAAGAAGGAGGAGGAGAAGAAGAAGAAGAAGAAAGATGGTAGATATGTGATCGAAACTAGAGAGTGAAAGGAGAGATAGGAAGATGTTTTTATCTTTCTTTAAGATAAGAGTCCAGACATGTTAACCTACTTATCAAGTCTTTTCACGGGAAAAAAAAAGAGAGGAAATAGACAAAGGTGAAAAAAAAAAAATAGATAAGATAGAATAGAGAACATTATATATATATATATATATATATATATATTTATATATATATATAAAGTGAACATTGGAGTTAGCACTCAGAGCCTATGAAATTTATATATATATATATATAAAAGTGACCATTGAAGCCAACACTCAGAGGCGAAAGGCTATCTCATGCTAGACACAATCGTCAAGCCTCCTGCAAAGCATCTGAATCGTATTGGTCAAAAACAAAAAAAAGTTACAACTGACCCGTTCTTTTTAATGATGTGTATAGAAAACCAATGGAAATTTTCGTGTTGTCGATAAAAGAAAACAATTATTAAATAAATAATTCTTTGAATAAGATTATTGGATTTAAGCATCGTATTATTTTTTTCTAGTCGAGTTCATTATATTCTCTCATGTGCTAGTACCGTTCTCCCCACCCCAGCTATGGATAAAAGAGCAGGATAGACTGGGTCCTATAGACTTGGGTGACAATGATTCTAGAAGGAATTCAAACCACCTTGTAGGTCCTGCTACTTTAGGCAAAGGATAGAAGATAACTTCAAAAACAAATCCGCCTCTGAGAGGAGGGGCGGTCTAACCTTAACATCCTGAAAAAGAAACCAGCAAGCCATTGTACTATTCTGCCTTGAATATCACCATGAACCAGAATTTTGAGATCGAGGGGAGTGACGTCCAGATCGGCGGCTCAAAATGAGCTAAATAAAATTAATTATTAATGTTTAAAATTCTGAGGTGAGGAATTGCCATCATAAATATGCTAATGTTCTTATCTTGATTGTTAGAGTCATAGCGTTTTGGCCGTTGCACTCGCAAACGTTCTTCCGACGTCTGAGTAAATACATTCACCTTCTGAGAATTTCAAACCAAAATCTTTATTTGCTTCACAGTAGTAAATTGCTTTCACTCTGCTGTCCATTATAAGGGGGATAACTCATATTGGCTAATTTTGCCACATTAACTAATTACCGGCACGAGCTTACACTGGCTTACACGTGTTCTAGTGGAAACCAACTTATACTTAGCTAATTTTCGGATGCTGAATTAAAAAATCAAGTTGATTTTTATTATTTACATTATTCCGACATTTATCCTCATCTTCATTGTCATGTCCACCGGAGTAGATTGTTCTAGTTCCACGTGCCATGCCTCTTCCAGATGTCTCAGTTATTTCCCTTTAACTCAAGTTTTGGTTCACCACTGCTGTAGCCTGGTACTGAACTCACAGCTGTTTGGATCCAGTCACAAGATCTAACCGACACTTTAATCCACTGGGACGAAATAATGGATTCGGTTCGAAATTCCAATCACCTGAAGAAGTCCGGAGCGTACAACGGCCGAAACGTTGTGAATATGGCAATGAAGATAAGCATAACAGTCCGAATAATGTAAATAATGCAAGTAATCATAATACCTCATCTCAGAGATATAGACAGATATTAACTTTTGTGAATTCATCATGAATATCTGTTAAATCTTTTGGTGAGTTTCTCCTAGTGTCGTTTGATGTTAGAAATTACAATCGATACAGAGAGCACAGTAACACCGCTCCATAGATATTAGTTTTCAGAGCCAAACACGATTCTTATACCGAACTGTGATCATATCCACTGTTTGATTTCCATAAGCGCTAAGCAAGCTTCGATGGGTATAACAGACGGAATAATGTAAATAATGTAATAATTTGTTTCTTATTGCTCTAAACGTTATTTTTAGTCGATAAAAGTGCTTGTGTTGACTCCCGTCTTATTTTAAAAAGTGAAATTAATGTCTACCGGCTAAAGAAATCAAAACGTCCTTACTAACGAAAATAGGATTTATGGGTGCGTATTATGCACAGCTACAAAAAATCTTTTAAAAATTGCTGTTTCGTAGGTCGATTTCAGTTGCGAAATGACTACGCACCACAAACATACGACAATTTGACACAAACATTCGGCGATTGCGACCCCATAAGGATGTCATATACAATCATATGTACCTAACAATACTTACGAATGTAAAATAAAATAATAATTATCATAAAACTAAATTAGAATAGTTTTAGTCTATGTTTAAATCCATTATTTGTGAAAAAAAAAAAAATACATACAGATCTGGTAGACATTTTTTCGAACTAAAACAGGTTAATGAGCCTGCGCAGTAGGCACAATATAGGTATTTCCGTTTCCTTTTAGAATCGTGATGATCAGAAATTTTGATAAAGATCTTCAATTACACCTTGAATAAGAGTAGGAAACGCTGACCGTAATGAAATTCGAGAGGTACAATTTATAGGGTTTGATTACCAAACAAGGGTTGCGTATTATGGGTGAGTAGAAGCATTTTCCCACACTTTCATCAGAATTTTAAGGGTGCGTATTATGGATGAAAGTGTATAATAAATGAGGAATTATGAATCATCACAAGCAAAATATGCAAGTATTTACCATATTTGATAAGTAAAAACTGTAGAAAAATTGTAAAAGATTTAAAAAAAAGGCTACGCAGTGAATAAGGTTTATTAGAGCATTTGTTAGATCATAATAAAAACAAAAAGCTAGATAAAAGTGTATAATTAGATTAATAGCTTTTACCAATATTTGAGCAGTTATTTTTAAATATCATATGAAAAAATGTAAATAAATAGTTAATTTCCTCAGGTTTTTGCTTACACTGATTTCAAAACTTTACCATTTCAATAAATCCAAATAAAGTTGGTATCTTTTGCATTAGATAGATTGGATCGTGGAAGATTGTGCTACGCCAGTCGCCCAGGTGCGGAAAATATGCCTACCTCATTATTTGACATCCTGTATTTTTTTTTTTTTTTTTTAATCTATATGCGAATACAGATCTCTATTACTAGAAGGCATACGCAACTATTTTACCCACCAGACAATTCTTAAAGAGATGCCAATGGGCATCATTTTATTAACTTGGATACTTTTAATTTTGCTACAAGGCTAGAAGAATTTTGAATCCACGGAAGATCGAACTCTCTACGCCCTAATAAAGTCCTCATTTTCCAGTCTTGATAGAATTCAAAAGCGTCGACACAGCCTTGTGGGTGATGAATGATTTCAACCTGACAGCCTCTTTCCCACACGTTGTTCGTCTATCTCTACTCTGTCGGTATTTCCTTTACATATGTTCTGATGAGCTGCATTCTCTAGATTCACCAGTTCAGACCTTCACGAGCTTACGGCCACATCACGTTGAAACACCAGTTCCCGTACGATCGCCGAAGTTAAGTAACGTTCAACTTGGTCAGTACTTAGATGGGTGACCGCTTGGGAATACCACGTTCTGTAAGCTTGTATGTGCGTGAGGTGTAATGGATAATGGCTCGGAATTGTTAGTCGGAGAGCTGAGTTCTAATTCCAGTTGGTTTCATTATATTTACTTATGCACAAATACCTTTGGGAAAGTTATGAATCCACCTCTGCTCCTCCATCTATGGGTTAATTAGTAAGATTTATTCTCAACAGTATTATATAAAAAACTAAATGCGTACAAAATATTTAGATTTCGGCATTAAATAACCCATAGAGGTGTTGGTATGCCGCTAAATAAAAACAGCTAAAGCAATCAGACCTTCTAATTCCCTTCAAATTCCATTGGTAAGAAGCAAGTTCCATTTAGACAGCTTCATCCCAAGAACAACTGCTTTTTGAAACAAACTCCCGAGAAAATGCTTCCCGAACATTACAATCTTAAACTCATTTACAATCTTATAGTCTATGACAAGGGTCGGCAACATTTTGCTAACAATGTGCCGACTTAGGGTTTTAAAATCATTCAGTGTGCTAACTATATACGTATTTTTATACAAGTCAAGGTCAATATACCTGTTCTACAATAGATTTTATATAGTAATATATAGTAGATATACTTTAGTATGCATTAAAATTGAAACATCTAAATATCTTCTTTGCGTTGTAGTAGCTATTGGTTCGGACTTTGTGATGTCATTTGCGGCTGCGTGCCATTGGAAACTTCTTGCCGTGCCACGTGAGGCACGCGTGCCGTAAGTTGTCAACCTCTGGTCTAGGGTTAAATGGTTTCTGTCCTGCATATCCCCCCCCCCAAACAGCACTTTTTACATCCTTATATTCATGCAACAACCTCATTTTGTAATCCTCAACCCTGAGTGGTTCTTGGGCTTTATATAGGGTAAAAAACTCTTTAAAAATATATAGACAGATGAACTCGTTGACCATAACCTAACGCCTCAACGTTCTAGTAATTTATTAAGTGTACCATGATTTTTCCTGGTACCCCGACTGTATGAATTTAAGCGTGCTACTAGGTTGGCATCTCGGTCCCACGCTTTTGCTGTCGAAACGGTTAAATGTAACCACCTCTTCTACTCCAACAGCTTCTTCTCTCACACTTCCCGACAGTGGAACTCCCTTCCTCTTACTTGCTTCCCTGATAGTTATAATCTTCAAATATTCAAATGTAATGTCAATCGACATCTGTTGTCTTCATCCTGATGCACTTCCTTCTCTATATCCTTTCTTCAAAGAACCCTCTTTACTCTTGCTCTCACTCTCTGTGACCCCTTGCATGTTAATGGCACTGCCGCCTTGCTTGGGGTAAAATGCTTAAAAAATATTGGCCACCTCATGAGGATCTAACCTGCTAATCATCGCACAACGAGGTTAGTTTTTCAATTGATATGCAACAATTTCTGAGTAGAAAAACATTAAAAATAGTTTCGGCATTGATAAAAAACGACATAAAAGTTTCTTGTATGTGCCGTGTCCCTTCAGGACATGGGCGATCATAGCTCTCCACAATTTCCTGTCCGTTGTAACTCATAATAGATTTTCTCTTTTTGTTATCTCTCCTAAACCTTGTTCTACCATCCATTTACACAAGATCTCTAGGTAAGCTATGCGTTGGTTTCGCTGTGCCCCTTGTCTTGAATCTGCCATGTGCGTATCAAATTTTCTAAGCCCTCTCTCCTCATTATGTGCCTAGAAATTTAAACTGTCTCTTACTGATGTTAACAGAAGTGCCATTGTTGCTTCTATTTTCTCTAAAATTTCGTCGTTTCTCACATGTTCAGTTCATGATATCCTCAGCATCCTTCTGTAGAGTTCCATTTCTGTCGCTTCAAGTATCTTTTTCATCTATGCGAAGATTGTTCAGTATTCACTGCCATATAGGAGGACTGATACATTCAGATTTAATATTAATGTTGATTCCAAACATGGAATAGGAAGACAGATATATGTATTTTTATCTAAATTCTTATTTAATTATTGATTTCCTAAAAAAAAATGTACACATCAAGTTTAATAAAAACAAAATCGGATTTGTTTTTTTTTTTTTCTTACTTTTTATTATTTTAAACTTTTTCTCAATCGAAACCGTTTCTTTTCATTTATTTATTTATTTGCCTTTTGAAAGATTTTGTATTTGTTGATTTGTTGTTTTTGATGCCACCAATCTCCATTGCGTGACTAACTTTAACAAAAATTATGCGGAACTAAGGGGAGATAACTCTCATTCCAGTTTTATGACAAAAGAAATGACAAAAAAAATTGTCGATTAATTGGCGTTCGTTTTTTTTTTTTTTTTACATTTATTTTGATTTTTTTTTCCGTTTTGTTTCTTTTTCTACCTTTTCTTTTACTTTCTTTTTTCTTTGGTATTTTCTTTCATTTTTTCTGTTTTTCTTTTTTTTTCTTTTAAAGTTTTTTATTTGCTTTGTCTTCTTTCCTGCTCTTTTTTTTTCTTTTTCTCTTCTCTTTCCTTTTATTTAATTATCCCCGGTTTTTTTTTCTTTTCCTTTTTCTTTTCATTTTTCTTTCTCCGTTTTTCCTTTTTCGCTTTTCTTTCTTGTTTTTTTTATCCTTTCCTTTTTTTCTTTCATTTTCTTTTTTCCTTTCCTTTTATTTTTCATTTGCTTTTCGCTTCTTTTTTTTTCTTTATCTCTCTTTTTTTTACTATTTTTTATTTTTTTATTTTAGTTTTCATGTCTTATTTCTTTCCCCTGCGAGTAAAATTTCTAGAAGGTACTCATATTTATTTTTACAAATATGTGAATTTCAGCTTAAGATTTTATCCAACTTGAGAGTTGTTCATAATATATTTTTTAAAAATATCTATAATATCTGATGTTTAATGTTTTTAAATTTCCGATCGATAAAGATTTCCATGGTTCATGAGAAAGATATAACCTTAAAAAGCGAACAAGACACTGTAAAATTATTAAATGATAGTGACCCATCTTTGTTCGACTTTTTACACAATTTCCAGAGACCACATAATAATCACATAAGACATTTAAAATATCGGCAAGCAGGGAATAAAAAACTGTCTTTAATAATATTGGAAAAGATTTTTTTAAGTGGATAAGTTTAGTAGCCAAGATAAGTGGATCTACCTACGTACCTACCTACTTGCTTGCCTCATGGACCTCACTCGAGATCCCAACGTCCACAACTCTATGCCACAGTTAACTGTGGACTCGAAACTCTGTTCCGTGGTATGTACTTCACTAAGTCTACATATTAGTTTAAAATTCTCCTAGACTGGCTGCCAACCACGGATAGAGAAACTAGTTTTCTCTGTTTTTAATCCATAGCTGGGAGGGGAAGAGACGGATTTATACATTTCCCCAGGGTATTTGTGCGAAAGTGAATGCAACGAACTCGATCGGAATTCGAACTCGGCTCGCCGATTTCTAATTCCGAATTGTTATTCATTGTACAACGCGCACATTCTTTACCGACATGAAAATATTGAAAGAGCTAATGTTTTGAATCTAAACAGACAAAACATGAATTGCTTGATTGATTTGGGTTTTTTTTTGTTTTTTTAATGGTTTACGAATCATTTTAAGGTTATTTAAAGCCGAAACGTATTTTTAGATTCTAAGCAATTTTTTTACTAATGTTCAACGAATACAAGACCCGAGAGCCACTCAAAGTAGAGGCTTAATGTGTTTTGTTTTTTATGATTTACCAACCATTTTACCGTTATTTAAAGCCGAAACATATCTTTAGATTCTAGTCATTTTTTCACTAATGTTCACTAAATACAAGGCCTGAGAGCCACTCAAGTTAGAGGCTTACTGTTTTGTTTTTTATGATTTACCAACCATTTCAAGGTTATTTAAAGCCGAAACATATTTTAGATTCTAAGCATCTTTTACCAATGTTCCCCAATACAAGGCCTGAGAGCCACTCAAGGTAGAAGCTTACTGTGTGGAGTTGTATTAGCGTAAGAAAGAGCAAGAAATAAATTCTTGTGGCTATGCAGGAAAGGTAACAGCTAACTCTAAACTTGAAGTCAAGATTTAATTAATGAATAAAATTTCAGAGTTTAGTCGGAGACGCTAGAAGTATAGAGTTGAAGTAGACTTTAGAAGGAACCGGAAACCTAATCTTGAACCGGAAACAATCGATAAATCTCTACTCCTGTTCAAAAGACCTGTGGAGCAGTTTGAACCAGTCGATTTGAAGATAGTAATGATTTCCTGATACAAGTCTTACTAATTAACCCATAGGAGGGGAAGAGGTGGATTCAGACCTTTCCCCAAGCGTATTTGCACGAAAGCAAGTATAACGAACCAGACTGGAACTGGAACTCGACTCTTCGATTTCCCGTTCCGAGCCTTTATCCATTACACCACCCGCACATCCATCACCTGGTATTCCCCAGCAGTCACTCAACTCGGTTCTAACCAAGATCGACGTTGCTTAACTTCGGTGATCGGACAACAACCGGTGTCTCAACGTGATATGACCGTATGCCACCATTGTTACCGTATATTAAGAACATTACTTAAAATATAAAAGCAATCAAAGCGCTACCTTTAAGTAAGAGAAGCTTGTAAGTTGTTCGTAGTACACGAATTATTTCTCAAGAATCATTTTTAATGATGAATAGAGAGCTATATTGGATGAACCTGATGGCGGGACTAAAAAGTCGAGTCCTTCACTGATGTAGTCAACCAATAGAAAGTTTGGTAATGTTATACATTTGAAAATAGAACGTGGAGTAATACGTAGTATATTTTAATGTAATGTTCACCTACGACAAGGTTTGAGAACCGCTTAAGCTAGATAAAACGGTTATGAAGGTTGTGAAAGATATGGTAGGAAGGTAAGATTATGAGGTTGAAGAACGTAGATAATGACTGACCTTTGGCATGAAGAGGTTAAGCTTCTAGTGTTAAGGGAAGTATACACACGGGAGACTGATACACAAAGCAGTTTTGCAGAGAGAGGGAAGTTATCTGAGGAAAATAATTTTTCTTACGTGTGGAATACGGATGAAATGAGGGTGATTTGACTCTGTGGATGTAACACGGCGTGTTCTAGCTGTAAAGGTCTGAACCAGTGAAACTAAAGAATGGAGCGCTAATCTGAACATTTGTCATTGTAGACAGTAAAGTTTTATCTGTGATACAGGTCACAACAAAAAAAGAAGTATTAAGCTAAAGAGTATATTCATACATGATTGGCCGAGTGGTTAGAAGGTTGGCATTCTGAATATAAGACCCGGGTTCGAATCTGGTCCTAGTCGATTTATCAGGAAGGAGATTTCCTGATGTTATCGGACTAGAGGTGTCGATTCTAGCGTACGGCACCTTTGGAAAGTGCCTGAAAACCATTCCACGGGTTGACCCAAGTATTGTGAGTGAAATTAGGTAGACGAAAATTTGCTAGCACAAAGTCACAAGTCATCATGGCCGAGGGCTTGAGCCTACAGGCCTCGTTAGATAACACGCTCTTTCCCTGAGACTGTAATTAAGGTTTGCACAGCATAATTGCAATGGTTTGCTCAGCATAAATGCAGGTGGACTCTGTGGGTGTTGAATAAGCATAAATGCGCCTGAACTAGCCACCCTATTAGACGGGTATCATCGAATACGAATGACCAGGTATACATATATACATGCATGACAAAATCACTTCACAGCCTAAAAAGTTGACTTCAGTCTCCCCAGAAATTAATCTCTTAAGAAACTTGTAGTCGTTTTTTTTTTTTTTTGTCTACGATATTCACCATGTACAAGGCCCGAGGGCCGTTCGAGCTAGAGTGTTACAGTGTAGGATGCACAGCCTATCTGATATATAACGGTGGTATTTACCAACCTCCATACAAGGCAGGATGTAGCACAGGGAATTTTTTTCCCCGTAGACGCCCGCATAAACGGTGTTGGGACTATCTACCACCCCAAACGAGACTCTGCCCTTCGGCATAGCCTCGTCTGGGCTCCTCTCTGCCCGAAGGTAGAGAGTTCGACAAGAACTGATCCTCACTCGCGGGCAGCTCACGCTACCGGCGGTGGGTGGCCAGTTACTGATATATAACGGTTAACCCTAGCCTTGAACAGGTTAAGATTGGAAACAACATCTCAGCAGTCGGTTCCACAACTCAGCGGTTCGTGGGAAGAAGCGGTTTCAACAATGGAATAGAAATGGAATGAGTGTGGATCGGCACAATATGCGTGGAACGGCGGGTTCTAACCGTGAAAGTCGGGACTGGTGGAACTATGAGCGTAGTTCATCTGAACACATTCCAGCGATAGAGCAGCAAGAGGCTTGCGACATAGGGAGGAAAATCATTCATCACCAACATGAACACGCAGACGCTTTTGGACTCTATCGAGAGTGGGAAGCAAGGGCTGGGTAGCACCTGCCTATAACATTAAAAGAGATGTATTGGAGAATGGAAATCAATATTTAAGCAAAGGTAATCTCTATGAAGTAATAATAACCATTGTAATCAATGCCCAAACTGAAACAGATCAAGGCATCTAGAAACGTCGATTGACATTACATTTGAATAGTTGGAGATGATAGCTATCAGGGAAACAAGAAATAGGGAGGGAGTTCCACAGGCGAGAAGTGCGAGATATGAAGCTATCGGAGTAGAAGAGACGGCTACATTTAACAGTTTCGACAGTGAAAGGGTAAGAGCGAGATGCCAGCCTAGTAGAACGCTTAAATTCATGAAGTCTAGGGACCAGCGAAAACAGCTCAAGAAACCAACGGAGATTATAGAATGCCAATGAAGCCGTAATATTTTTTTTTTTTTTTTTTAGCGTTTCACCCCAAGCAAGACGGGAAGCCACTAGCACGCAAGGGGTTACAGAGAGTTGGAGCGAGAGCAAAGAGAAGTGATAGAAGAAAGGATGAAGAGAAGGATAGGGGATAGATCAGGGCATCTAGAGACGTCGATAGACATTACATTTGAATAGTTGCAGATTATAGCTATCAGGGAAACAGGAAGAGAGGAGGGAGTTCCACGGGTGAGAAGTGCGAGATATGAAGCTATTGGAGTAGAAGAGACGGCTACATTTAACAGTTCCGACAGTGAAAGGATGAGAGCGAGATTCCAGCCTAGTTGAACAATTAAATTCATGAAGTCTGGGAACCAGCGAAAACAGCTCATCAGAGCAGTTACCGTGAAAGTATTTGTAAAAAGGACAGAGGGAGGCGACGGCACGTCTGTGAGAGAGCGACTGCAGACGAGATGCAATAATGTGCCAAATAAAATAATTTATATAGATATTTGGGATAATCCGTTAATTAAACGTATGTTCAAGTAACCTATAATCTTTTAATGATAAATGTTAGATCAAATTGATGACTTGGTTACATTTTTGGTCCTTCATGGAAATAGTCAGCTAACAGAACTTACTCCCTTGCGCAAATTATTTAAAACAACCGTTTTAGGGTCCTTTCTTTCAACATATGGTCAGTTTTAGACCCACTGGAGTGACAGGTTGTAATTGATTTCTATTTTTTTCTTCAGATTAGGTCATTAGCAGTGGTGTACAGTAATATGAATCTATTTTCGGGGTGTGTGATGAAATTTGTTTGACTTTGAAATCATACTGCGTCATCCTTGATGGTATCAAATTTTTATCAAGCCCAGACAACTGACACTTTGCAAATTTGTAAATTTAACATTTTTAAAACTCAAGTAGATATAAAACTTTTTGTTTTAAAAGAAACTGAAAAGCCATATTAGCGACTTTCAATGCAAAGAGATTAATTTCAAGGCCTGATCTCAAAAGCTTAATTTTTCTAAGATACAGCAAAATTCATCAAGTACTTTAGCGTTCATTATTTTAAAATTATTAAGTTGAATAAGTGATACAATCTTCCACTTATAACAAAATCTGTCTTTTAAGCTTTTATCTCTCCTCTACACACAGTCTGTTGCTTCCCCAGAGGAGATTTTTAAAAAGAAACTAATTTATCATCTCAATATTGTGCTTGTCTATTTTTTTTTCCAAGGCGGTTTGGTTCCGTTTGTGGCAAAACGCTTGGTAGCCTCTTCTGCTCCAAATGTCTTCCTTTTCTAGCAGGTTCCTCTCGCATTTTTGTACTGAAACATGCTGCTTTTAGATCTCGTTCTCAGACAACTTATTAACTTAGTAGCTGGCACCCCTGGGGCAAGTGTGTCGTATAGACGATCATTTCGGCATCCTGCCGTAACTTTATGCGTCGCAGGTGACCGAACCATTGCACAGATCTTTGTCTTAGAAGCATTGGCCTTCTGTCGCACTCTCTTGATTGACACCTTGTCTTTCCTCAAGATCTGGTCTCCTTTTTAAAGTTATTTTAAGTGATACAATCTTGCACTTATAACAATATCCGTCTTTTAAGCTTTTATCTCCTCTACACACAGTCTGTTGCTTCCCCAGAGGACATTTTTTGTCTTTGAAAAAGAAACTAATTTATCAACTCTAACATTTCTCTATTTGACTGACTCATAAATGCTTAAGCTAGAAACATGCAAATAAGTAAAATGACTTAAGAGCAGAAACATCATTCTGCTGCAAGACATACAGTTCTAACAATCCAATATTCCCTGTGCATATTCTAAGTCTGGATTTTACAAACATGAATAGAAAAAACAATTTTAAAAATGATTGTGAAATTTTTATATTTAATCTTTAGCCCTCTGCATGAAGTAATACTTCCATTGCATTCTTTTTTTCAAATCTCAATTGCAATTGTTGATTTCTTATTGTTTTGCTAGAGTTAAAAAAAATCTTCTCTAATGACAATAAAGATATAGAAAGTATGATAAATAATTTCATTGTCTCTTGAAGACGTACAAAAATAGAAAACACTGAATAAAAGAGTCCGAGGGGGGGGGGGGGTCAATTCTAATTAAGATAATCCTCTTAATACCATGTTATTTCTTTCCTAATACATCTCGTAACTTTTATATTTACTATACTCAAATTTGTTCATATGGCCAACAACTGAATTGTACTGCGTCAATCTTGTGTCAGAGAGAGAGAGTGAGCGTAATTATTTTTTGCCTTGAAAATCTTTATATGAGCAGAAACATTGATATAAAGCAAAAGAAATTAACTAAGCAAGAAAATAAAGACACCAATAGGCTCATTGCATAAATAAGACAATTATTATTATGACACAAAATAATGCCCTGTGATATAAGAACTTTGCCTAACAATTTATTCAACTAAATTTAGACTAGCAAAAGGCTACTAGTGTAGTATGTCAATTAATGATTGAACTCACTTCAGAAGTAATGGTCTGTCAGACTGGCTTGCTAAACCCTGCTATGTAAGACATATCTCAAATTGAGTGTCACTCCTTAAGTGACATAATACTGAAAAGTCTTACATTCCTTTCTAACTTAATATAGTCACAGATATGAAGAACATCTAATAAAAGTCTAAAAAAAAGTTTTAACTGATTCACAAGAGTTATATATTCTATCAAATTGTAAAGTTTTCAGAGAAATTTTTATTTCCA